AAGTAAACCAGTATAAAATAAAAATTTTATTAAAAAATAAAGGTTTGGTGATATTATAATTTGTATTATACTTGTTATAAACCAAAACCATGTATGAATGATTGAATAAATTCCATTATGATTTGTTAAAAGAAAGTGGCTAGTCAAGACAAAGCCAAAGAGAGGCATTTGGATTTGACAAAATAGATGTGTGTGCAAAAAAGGTGTGCTATAAGTAAACATGGATTTCAAAGATAGTATGAACTACTAGCTGAAAGGCTGGTGGTTCGAAACCACATAGGAGCCTAAGAAAATGTGCCTAGTGACCTTCTTAAAAAAGGTGAAAGCTGGTAAGCTCTGGTAGCCTGGTGGCAAGAAGCTGCACTGCAATCCTAGAGGTATGCAGTTCAAATCCGCCAGATGCTCTGCTGGAGAAGGAGGCACAATCTCCTCCTGTTAGATTTGTTTTGATGGTATATACATACACATACACACACACACACACACAAAATAATAAAATAATTTAAAAAATTTTTTTGGAAATCCAAAATCTCTGTAAATGCTCATTAAAATTATTAAAAAAAAGAAATTTAAAAAAAGGCTAAAGCCGTGGAAACCCTATAAAACAGTTCTATTTAGCACATAAGCATCAGAATCTACTCAAGAGCAACTAATAACAGTAAGGAAAGAATGTAAAATTAATCATTTAATCTGTTAAATTATGGTGTAGTAAAGATTTTTGGATTACTAACCTCATTTTTCTATGTGGCAGCTAGAAAATGTAAAAGCTACATGTGGCTTGAAGCATATTATGATTGGGCAGGAATGGTTTAAGGATGTGATACAAAGAGGTACCTAGGAAAGTGGTGGGAGCTGAAGGAGTTGGGAGTTAAGGGAGAAATAAGGAATTTCCAGTGCTTGTGGTTCAGTGGACCTGGTTGTGAATTTGAGCATTTTCCCCACCTGACAGGAGAGCACTGGTGGCAGCACAATGCTTGTTTGGCTGCTAAAAAGTGGCCTGAGGGAGATTTGGCAGTCAGCTCCCATAAAGATTACAGCTTAGGAAACTGGATGGGCAGTTCTGCTGTCCTAGAAGGCCACTATGCATCAAGGCTGACTCAATGGCATACAACTGTGCACCTACAATGCAGTGAACAATCATTTTTTCAAGGTATAGAAGGGTACACTGGAGGTTGAGAAGAAATTCTAGTCCTCCCCTGTGGAATTATAAGGCCAGCTAAGCTGCCTGTTACTTTGAGGAATTCCTTGGACTCCTAGGCACCTATGGTCTACATGCAAAGCTTCTTTGGCAGCAGCAAAGATGTATCTTTGACTCCAGATCACAAGGTAGGTCCTAACAGTGGACAATACCTGGATAAACTCTCACAGTCCCCTTCTTGGAATATGGGATTTCATCTACACTCCTGGAGCTGGAAGCCTCACTCTCAAAGGAGCAACAGAGGAGTCAAAAGCCTCACAAGGACTTAACTGGCCTGTGCGGTTTCTTCTGATTCAGTTGGGATTCTTCCGGCTTGAGGCCTCCAAGGATCCTCTCAGGGCTCAGCTGCAACATCTATTTTCATGCACGCCCAAAGGGCTATGGGATTCATTTCTCCATCACTCTATGAATTAGACGTCAGTGAAGGAGCTAACATTAAATTGTTGTGTACTGTCGAGTGGCATCCACTTCCTAAACAACATGCCTCTGGAAACTATGAACTTTAAATATATGTCGATTGTTACAGAAAGGCTTCAGGGCTTTTGTTCATAGGGTCACTATGAGTTGTGCTCAACTCAAAGGCAATCAACAACTGTCCAACTAGAACTGGGTCATAGCTAACCTTGCAGCAGGTTTTCAGAGGTAGTTAACTGCATGGGAGGAGATAACCTGTCTTTCTCCTGCAGAGCAGCTGGTGGATTTGAACTGGACTCCTTTGTTGGCAAGTCAGCTCCTTACCACTAAGCCACTGGATTTCAACAGAACACAAAGAAGTAAGTGCACTTGGCCAGCTAAAATTTCAAGGTGAACTTCTGGTTATTTCTTGACACACTCATGCAATATGGCTGTTGCTAAGCCATTTTGTCCTGAGTTGAGCTAGGTAAGCTCTGGAACTTGGTCCCTATGGTCAATTTCTGGGTACCTCAGCAAAAGAAATTCAACTGGTACTTACACCGATAGGTTAGGTTATATTACACTGATCAATTGTATACTAAGGCTGTTGACTCAGCAGCATGCTACTCTTTTTCTAAATTAATTACAAAGTTTAATGAATGCTATCTTTTCTTCTCAGCAGGATGGCATCATTCAGTGAGGTAGAGTTCCTCTCCCATCAGATTGGGACCCTAGTGGGAGGAGGGGTTGAATGAGTCCTCATCTTAAGTCAGCTCTTCAGAAGGCTGGCTGGGAGCTCACAGCACCTATGTTTGGTGCAATGAGTGCTGGCAGGTTACATATAACCCAAGGAGAGAGCCTTCGGGAGACAGACTCCTTCACTACACTGGCCTCGCACAGAGATGGTACTTAGCTGTGGTCTTTAGAAAATCAAAAGGAGGGTGTGGGGTGGGCCATTCTGCTTCCTATCCACCCCCTCAGCTCATCCTGATACCCCAAGTGGTCTTTCCGTGCATGGCAGGACATGATGGACTAGCTAACAACCCAGGTGCAGAACAGGCTTTTAAAAGAATCCAGAGAGACTTCTCAAATGGTTTATGTTGCAGCTCAGTTTAAACAAAGATACAGAGTGTTATTATTATTAAATGTATATTTTTAATAAAGCCAATATTTATTTATAGGAGTTTTAAAAGTAAGATACAAAACGTAGAGTTCCAGTTTGGAAGTAGTTTTAATTATTCACACTGTGTCCTCCTGATGCCCGAGCAAGGCAGCCAAGCCCGGCCATGCAGAAGACACACATTCACACACACATACACATGCGCTTGGGCAAGACACCGCTGCCGAGCGCAGCACCTGGAATTACCAGTGTTCAGAGCAAGGTGGTGCTGTGAACAGAGCACCTACAGGGAGACCACACAGACAGCTTCAAAAGGTCTCACAGCCCATGGAGATGCAAAGTGTCTTTCTTAATAGAGAAAAACTGGAAAATGTTAAGAGGGCTGTCACCTAGGCTGGGGAATCAAGGATTGAGCAGGATGAGTGAGGTCTTTGGGGAGGCACTATTAAAACAAGAGTATGTCAGTATAATAGAACTTGAAATACAGGGTACGGTGGACACTTTACTGAAGGAAGTAGAAAACTATCTTACAAGTAAAAGAGCCACACAGAACTTTAACAGAGAGGAAAGTGTGCACACTGTGACAGCCAACACAGATAAAAGCCACATACAGTTGGTGCAAAGCCTATGCTTGGAAAAAAAAGAAAAAAAATCTATGTACAAAATAGTTCTCTGTAAACATGGTGAGGTGACTGTTTAGAACCTATGGTGACAATATCATTAAGTACAGGCAGCAATGGTGTCCCCACATAGCACAAAGACAATACCTGAGGCCTGGAAATAGCCTGGCAACATGGGACTCAACATTCAGGTGGCTGGGCTCAGACATCCCAAGGGTCCTCTAGAGTTCATATGCATGTGTGTGTGCGAATATGTATGTGTGTGTGTATGTATGTGTGTGTGTGTGTGTGTGTGTGTGTGTGTGTGTATATATATATATATTTATTTTTGGTATTTTTAAATAGAAATTTAATTATATTTGTAGGAAAATGAGAACATAAATGTGTTATTACAATCTTTGCTGGAAAAGCTTATATGGAGTTAGAAAGAATAAACCATTTATTAGTAGTTAACATATATTAAAATGGCTTAATGATTTAAGAAAATATAAAAAAAATATTAATACTGTCAAACTTTCATACCAGAAAATATTATGGATTTTTCTCAATTAGACTTTTTTAAAGATGAAATATGAAAAATTTAAATAAGTTTTATATAAACAACTTTCTATAACCTCAATTAATATACAATGGGATATATCTATTCTACATAGATATACTTAATATTTCTCAATTTTAAGCACCATTCAATTCTGGATCCATTCAGGCTGGAAAATATTCCTAAATCCACAGGATGTTATTTAATGGCACATGTTAACTAAAAATGAGGTTGCTTCTGTTTTGTTTAAGGAAAAAAGACTTAAATTAAATCCTATCTACATCTTGTTTTGTCTTCTGAGTCCATTCACACATGTCACTGCAATTTCGAATGCAGCTGTCTGTGCAGCCCTGAGGCTATGCCCCCCACCCTCCATGGACTGTGATAATGCCTCAGGCCTGTGTGGAAGTATCTCAAATGCAGAGATGTATCCTGCACAAAGACAAAACAGCTGGCTCAGCCCCATGTACTGTCAGGAAAAGGCCTCTGACATCAATCTTAGGATCCTGCTTTTGTAAATCTGGTAAAGGCTGAACCTCCTGGGTGCTGCTGGCATGGGGAAGTGCTGCCATTTTACAGAAAACCCAGGTGATTGCTTTTGACCACAACTATTTGATACTGTGTCCATTTTGTACAAACTTAAATATAGTATTGAACAAATCTCCAGCTGCAACATTTGTTATATTAAGATGTTTGATGCATCTTAGACAGGAAATGCTTTAACTAAAAATCTATGAGAAAAATAGCTGTAGAATGGAGTGAAAGGTGTGGTCATCACTCCACTCAGTACTATGGAGAATGGTCAGTTTTGATTCACTTTCAGACCTAATCACGTCCCAACACACGCAGAGACTAAGAACTTCAAAGCTGTGTGTCTTAGAACATACTTTGGCTCACCTCCATCACAATCACCTGAGGTGCTTATTCAAGTCCACAGATTCCCAAACATCCCCTGAATCTGTAGGGGCCTATGTCTCCAAAGTTTAAGTAGCCAGGATTTAAAGGCTGGGAGCTGCCAACCACCCTGGTCCCCAGGGATCCCTGCCCAGGACAGGGGTGCACTGGTCCTCTGGGGAGCTGGTTGACAGCAAGTTGCCCCTGGGACAGGAACTCTGGTCCCAAGTGCTCTGTGCAGGTGGGCAGGCTGACCGTGGGTCAGTACTGGGGCAAGTAGGCTGGCCTGCGCTCAGCCTTCCCAGGGAAGGCCTTGAAGCCCTTGGGTGCTGCCTTATGTGCTGGTGGGGGTGGGGGCTGTGGGGGAGTCTGCACGTAGGTAAAGGAGGCAGCACTGCAGTTGCTGGTGGCAGCCCACACTGGGGACTGCAACATCTGCATGGTGTCGTTCCACTGACTGCCAGGGCTGGCCACTGCGTAGAGAGGTGTGCTTGGACTGGGCAGTGTGCTGAGCAGAGTGGAAGAGTGCTGCCAAGGGGCTTTGGGTGGCCACGTTTTGGTTTTATTATCCTGAAAGACAGAAGAGGATTCTCAGTGGCATTTCTGGTGGTTTCCCCTCTTTTCCCACCTCCCCAGATCACTAATCCTTATTTCCTCTTAGGAGGCAGAGTGAGACCTCTATACCCTAATTGCCCCACAAGTCCTGGAACATTTTATGCACTCAGACATATTCTTTATTGTCCACTAGCCACTTGTGAATAATTAAACTGAGAAAATTAATTTTTAAATTCAGTTTTGAATAAAAAAATTTTTTAATAGCTGTATGTGGCTATCATATTGGACGACACAACCATAAAATTTGTGGCTTTGATTAAGTTGAAAGAAAGCTAATTATTCACAGAAAACCATGAACTAAGAAAACTAAGAAAAAAGTTATTCACCCCAAAATAGAACTACTCTTTACTATGAGGCCTTCTAAAAAGTAAACCTTAGAACTTTTCTTATGGTCTAAGCCAGCCCTCCACGGTCAGAGAAAGAGCCATAATACCTGGTTCATGTCTTCCACGGTAGGAAGAAGTGGTGGCGAGGGCAGCATGCTGGTCTCCTGCTCTCCACTGTTGTGTTTCCTGAAAGAACCAAGAGCTCTGTATAGTGATTACCTGGTTTCCTTCACCCCTACCTTCAGGGTTAAGGGCTCAAAGCACCCTTAGCGGTGGGGTGTCAGCCCCTTGCGTGGTGTATTACTGCAGAATGTCACAGGTGAGTGGGGCGGGGAAAGCAGGCAGAGGGCACCACTGGAATGCTTAGCTGCTCTCTGGCTTTCAGCTAGTTTATTCAATGATTGAGTGTTCACCATGCACTGGAGATGTGTGATTTAAAATTAATTGGTTATTAATTTATAATTATGAAAATGTTGAATGGAAAAGGAAACTGTAACAGGATCACAGCCAGATAAAATCAAGTTCTATCAGTATTTCTACACCACCAGTGGTCTCTGCAGAGAGATGGTACTGTTGTACTAGAGGTGACTAAATTATTTTTCTTAAATTTTTTTTTGTCTAAAGCAGAAGTCTTACTGGCCACCCACTCAAACCTGGCTCCTCTCCATCTCATTTCATGGCATCTGCTTTCACAAGGGAGTTGCTCATGTCATCCTTCATTCTCTCTTGCACATACCACACGGTTCCTCACTGGTGGCTTCCTCATTTTGTTTCGCTCTCTGCAAGCAGAAAGGCCCTGCTTTCTGAAACAAAATCTGCCTTTTCCTGCACTGTCTGCTCTCAAAAATCTGCTTTACTTTTCTTCATAGCACCAGCCACCCACAATACATTTGTTTTGTTCACCTGTCTTTTCCCATTACAGTGTAAGTTCCATAAGGGAAGGGATTTTGTTTTGTTCACACTTTTATTCATCTCTTCCTGGAACGTGATAGGTGTCTGCCAATAAATGAATAAATGAATCTAACTTCTCTACCTACTTGAGTATTACTATAAATAAGGAATAAAAATATTAACCAACATCATATGGCAGGGAATTCTGGTTGCCAAATGGTAAGCAGTTGTGCTGCCAACTCAAAGGTTCGAATCCACTAGTGGCTCCATGGGAGAAAGATGGGTAATCCCCTCCCATGTAATTGACAGTCTCTGAAACCCATTGGCGGGTCAGCTATGAGTTGGTTCTGACTTACTAGCAATGAGTTGAGTGGAACTATATCATATGATGAATGTAGAGGAAAAGAAATTATAGAAAACGTCTAGCATAGGGCTTGGCAATCAGAAAACACCAAATGCATTCACTGATCCTATCCTGACTCCGGTAACCTTGGTCTTTATCCACCTGTTCTCTACTGCATGTTCACAAAGCTTGGCTCTGTTGCGCAGGGTTACATAAACTGGCCTTCTTTCCTGTGCTCAGGCAGCTCAGCATCCACTCTTTCATTGTTGCTCATGTCCCTCTCACTGCCACCTCTGACCCTGTATATACTCATACTTACAACTCTCTTTCCACTTCTTTCTATCTAAATTCTTATCTTAAGGCTTATTTTAACTCTGTGACTACCACATTTTACTAAGGGAGCTCTAGCAGTGTAGGAGAAGGTACAGAGTGCCTTCCACTGTCAACCAAGAGGCCTGGGTTGTCTGCAGTGGTGTGAATCATTTAGTGGTTCTTAGAAAGAAAGATGGGCAGTCTCGTCCCACAAAGATTTACAACCTCAGAAACCCAACTGGATTGCTCTGAGTTGGAACCGACTCAACAGCAGTAAATGCATGATAACTAGTTTTTGCAAACTGTGCAACTGCCTCCTGCAATAGCTTCCTGTATGAGATATGCAGGTAGGTGTGTGATATGTATGCACATTATTTGTAAAAAACACAGTGCTTTTGAAAACTTTTTATATTGGAATATTTATTGTATTTTCCACTCTGAATTATCATTAAGAGATCACTGTATCTAGTTCTAACTTTGAAAGAAAAAGAAATTGAGGGTCAGCTATGTTAAGCCTTCATCTGGAATTGGACAGCCTGATTACAACTTGCCTATCCTGGCCTCACTCATCCTACTGAGAGGGCTGCCTTTGTGAGGCAGTGATGAGCAGAGACAGACTCTGAGTCCAAATCTTCCCCTGCCTGCTTCTGGACTTTTTACCTAGCATTACATGAGACTTTTTGCCAGCAAAAACTCAACCCAGTGTAAGTTACCAGTACTGCAAACCTATGTGATGTACCCATCCTCACCAATGTCTCCACATGGAGACAACCTCCTAGAAGTGCTCCTTTGAGTTCTTTATCAGACAGAGGGGGTCAGGGTCCCTCTGTCTTTCTCATACAAAACACACTGAGAGACAGGACTCCTGATGCTTCTAGAGAAATAAATGGAATTAATTCATATGCCCTTCTTTCCTCTTTGGTTTGAAAATTATTCACACCTTCTCTGCTTGACAGCTGCAACGAGGTCTGGACCAGAAAACATGGAGAATAAGCTGTCTCCATTAGCGGAGGATGTCTCGTCACTTGAGCTAGCTGAGTCTCCTTGAGCACCTGACCAGCCACTGGGTAGAGCATCCCTAAAAGCCAAAGACAGGTGTTGTTAATGTCCCTCTTCCAGCCAGCCTGCACAATGGCTTGAAAGTCCCCCCTTCTATCTAAGCCTTAAAAACCATGTCTTTACTTTGCACTCATTTCACAACCAAACAGTGAACCACTGTTCACAGGGTTGCTATCAGTCATACTTGACTTAATGGTATCTAACAACAAGATGTTTCTCTTCTAAGATGCACTGGTGGCTCGGTGGTTAATGTACCTGCCTGGCTACTAAAAGAAAGGTTGACAGTTTGAACCAATCAACTGCTCCACAGAAGAAACATGTGGTCTTGGAAACCCTGTGTGGTAGTTCTACTCTGTCCAATAGTGTTGCTATAGGCGGGAATAAATTTGACAATAATATGTTTTGTTTTTTGGGTTCATGAGTCTTCTAAAAATGCAAGATTTTCTTTATTCCTCTTATTATAAAAGTCACATATATTCTTTTCAGAAACCTATAGTTTATATATACAATTTACAGTTGAAAAGGTTTCTAGCTTTCAAGATTTATTGCCTAGGTAAAGATGCAAAAAATCAACTCCCTAGTTGTTTTTATAATGAAAATCCAAAATTCTCTTAATGGCTTTGTAGAAGTTTCAATATGTTGTTGTTAGGTAACATTCCATAAATCACATGATTTCAGAGCCACAGTCCTATCTACAAAAAGACCGTTCTATATGCACAACTGCTTCAAAACCATCACCAATTAAGATCTTGTCTATGGCTGAAGAGTCGGTCTGAAAGTCCACTGGGGTACATCACATCACATCAAGCAAACTCTGATTCTCTGAAGTTTTAACGAGGTGTCACTGTCACTTGTGGTTTGTAATGAAATAATTCTAACAAGGACACACACAGATCAAAAGCCTCCTTCTTAAAGACCTTATGTAAAATGGCAGTTCCCAAATGTCTCTCTGCCATAGCAAGCACTCACCCTTCTGTGAAGAACTCCGGTAAAGGCCAGGTCTGATGGGTATCCTCCATAGGTGGCCAGTTGCCTCTGGGGTTGCCTGAGCGACGACCATGCTGGGCTTGCCGTTTTTGCTGCATTGCCTGACTGACTCCTGCCACATAGCGAGCAAACTCTGGGTCTGAACCCACTGTATCGAGACAAAGGGGCAGAAAGCCTTTTGGTTCTTTTCCCACCTCTACCCTTTAAGAACTGTGTGCATCACACACAATAAACAGTGGCTCAGGACTCCAGCCTGTGGTTGCAGGATATGCCTCATATGATGATCTGGTGCTTTCAGGTCTGAAGCTGGGGTGTGATGTGTGCAGTGACTGTTACAAAGATTTTTTTCTAGGACAGAGACAAGCTAAATGTGAATGAAAGACACAGAGAAAAGAAAAAGTGGAGACATATCCTCCAGAAAGAGCACAGAGAGTGCCACACTTTAGTTTGTGACTAAATTCTAAAGGTACAGAATAGTTACTTCTAAATTTCAAGTTTCTGGTGAGTAAGGAGTTGTGCTGCCAACCCAAAGGCACACGGTTTAACCAGCTGCTCAGTCGGAGAAAATAGACAATCTCCTTCCTCTGTTTATTTATAGCCCCTAAAAAACTTCTGGAGGTTCAGCTATGACTAGGTTCCAACTTGAGGGCACACAACAACAGCAATAATATGAGCCTTGAGTCTTTAGGTAAGAACTTAGAAAGCCAGATGATCACTTTAACAAACAGATAACCTGCAAGTAGTTACCAGAGTGTCAGGGTCAGTCAGGTGGAGAGTAGTATTCCACTCCCATGTGGACCAATCTTTGTTTTAGAAGGCTCGGACTTGGAATTTTCTCAAATAGCAGGCTTGTACTACATTCAGTCTTAAGACAGTAACAATGGCAAAAATAAGATATAATTCAGAGTACATAAAGATGTGACCAGAAACACACTGGACAGAGCTGAATAAGGATATGAAGGGCAGGGCAGATGGAAGGAAAACAGTACTGATGACATTTAAAGAAAAAAGTAAAAAGATAATGGCAGGCAAGTATTTATGAGTAACAGGTTGAATACGGTTCAGCAGTGTATAGTTCTCAGTTTTCTATGTGAAAAGATGCTAGAGCACCTTCTCTTAACATAATTCTTATTATTATTCTTAGAGCCACTACATGAGGCTGCTCAGATAAGCAGAGTAGTAGGGGTTAAAATCAAAGCCAACCACCTTGGTTAGTCAACCATGATCTCAAGAGCCCTGTTTGTCCATCCACATTAGATGATCTGTTTGACTAGGCCCCTTAACTGTCACCTCCAGATAGGGTCCTTCTATAGTTCACCTGACCAGACCTTGTAAGGGAAGTCAGCTAGAAACACCATCAAAGACCTGTGGGCCTTACCTCAAGAAATGCTAGTGGAGAAAGGCTTTGTAGACTTTGTAAGACTTCTAGCTTTGTAGGATTTATAGAATAACAAAGTAAGGTTGTCAGGGCCCTCAGTTAATGGTAAAATCCTGCCAAGACCAGATTTAGTGAGACTGTCAAGAAATGTGCAATTTATTTGTCACCAACATAAAATGCCCACCTGCAAGGAGCAGCTAGGTGGGCCTGCTTTGAACAAGAGCAGAAGGGCATATGTGCCCTTACTGTGTCCTAAGGACGTAGACACAGGGTTCCTAAGGTCCACCTATGCAAGAAGAGCAAGAAGAAACAAGCATACGCAGCAATAGGAAGAAAATGTTTCCTTCTTCTGAGGTGTTTCAGTAAGGAAGGTTTTTTTCTGGTAGTATTTATAATGTTAATGTTTCTAATTATTTACAAGAATTTATATTTATAGTATTCCTCCTGTAAATGAAATATGTTTTCCATTTCGATACACATTTTACTAAATTAGAGGAAAGTATAAGTGATTTCCCTCACATACATCTACCTACTTTACTAGATTCTTATACTAATTTTAGAAATTTTTTATTGAACAAGATGTGGCTTTTAAAACTATCCCTTTCTAATCTTGTTGTTGTTATATGCTGTCAAGTTGCTTGCAATTCATAGCAACCCTATGTACAACTCTGAACATGCTCTATCTTGAGCCAACCTTATTATTTCTGACACACCTACTCCCATTACCCCAGTCACTGAGTCAATCCATCTCATTCAGGGTTTTCCTCTCACTGTCCCTCCACCCTTCCAAGCATGACATCCCTCTCCAAGGACTGATCCTTCCTTGCAACATGCCCAGTGTATGTCAGATGGAGCTTCAGAATCCTTGCCTCCAAGGAGCAGCCTGGTTTTACCCTCTCCACTACTCATTTCTTTTTGTCCTACTGTATTTGTCAGAAAGTCCGAGATAAAGTTACATGCTATTGGTGGTTACAGATGTCTCTATTACTTAATAGAAATGATTTTATGCTTTATCATACAAGATCCTATTTCCTACTATTTATGGTAGTATTTGCAAGGAATTTCCTTTTATTCATATTTTATTATAAGGGATTTCTTTTCTCTCTGCTATGCCTTTAATCAAATGTTTTTATAATGTTTATTGATAAGATCAGTTTTCTTAATTAGTTGATAAAATGGGTCACACTAGGAGCTCTGGTGGCCTACTGGTAAGGAGCTAGGCTGCCAACCTACAGGCCTGCAGTCTGAATCCACCAGTTACTCTATGGGCAATTTCCTCCCTTGCAATTTACAGACTCTGAAAACCCGGTGAAGGGTCAGCTGACTTGACAGCACAACAAAAATGACAACATATATTAATAGTTTTTAACACTTGACTAAAATCTTGATATAAATCAGGTTTTTTCACAGTAGCTACTCTGTAGCTTCGCTGTTAAATCTTCTTGCAGGTATGTCAATGAGAAGCCATTATAGTTTGTTTTTAAATACTCTCCATAAAGTTTTCAAGGTAAAGGTATCTTTTTCTGCACCTGAAACAGACTACATAATTTTGATTTTTATGTGTCTTAAAATTAGATAAAACTTACCTATGAATCAATTGTTTTTGCTACCTTTCTCTATTGAATCAATTGTTTTTGCTGCCTTTCTCTATTAAAGGCAAATCTTTAATTTCTTTTTCAATCTCTTCTACTGAAATAGATCTAAGCAGGTTTTCCACTTCTTGGTACAGTTTCAGTAACATATATTTTACCAGGAAATCATTCAATCTCCACTCAAGTTTTCAAATATGTTGCCATGAAGTCACATTTCTTAATTTTTTTTTAAAATTTTTATTATTTTGTGTGTGAGTGTACCGTCAAATCAGATCTGACTGGTACAGGAGGAGATTGCCCCTCCTTTTCCAACAGAGCATCTGGTGGATTTGATCAGTGTCCCTCTGGGATACATTTCTTAAAATTTTTAAGTTTGCTTCTTTATCTTTGGTTGTTTAGTGCCTGCCTTATTTTTCTTTATCAGATTCATAATAAATTTTCTGTTTTAATTGGTCTCTCAATGACTTACTTTAATGCTTATTCACTATTTCTTCTTTTAACTTAACCAAGATTAACTTTTATTCTTAATTAGAGATTTCTGAGTAGTACAATTATGCACTTAGTTATTAGCTGAAATACTAATGCCTCAAAAAGAGGCCTAGTGACCTGTTCTCAAAATGCTGCAGACTTAAATACCCAGTGAAGTGCATTTCCACTCTGCAGACATGGGGTTATCATGAATCAGTCAACTGACAGCATTTATTTTCATCTGGATGGTGCAAACAGTAAACGGGCTGGGTTGCTAACCAAAAGGCTGGTGGTTTGAGTCCATCCAGGGGTACCTTGGAAGGTAGGCCTGGCTCTAGATCTAATAATACCAAACAGTGAAAACCCTGTGGAGCACAGGTCTCCTATCACACACACACGGTCACTAGCAGTTGTGGTTGACGCAATGGCAACTGGTAAATGGCCAATTCTTTAATTCCCTGTTTTAAGTGTGTTTGTTTTGTTTCTAAGCTGACTTTGGAGTGTGTTTTCTGGGCCACAGAAAGCTGTATTCTATGAAGATAGGGGAGTGTTGTACTACTTTTCATAGTTCTTCAGGGTTCTAGAACTTGGGCAAAGAAAAAAGCACAAGGAACAGATGGATAATCAAGAAACATGGACCTCATCCAGGATTGGCTGCTTCGATCCCAAGAATGAAGGACTCAACTTGGAAGCCCATTCAAATGATCAAATTTTGAGCAATTCAAGGAACTTCAAGTGAGAAAAATTGTGCTTATGTTCTCAGTTCATTCTCACTACTGTTCCCCATTCTAGCTAGAACTAATTTGCTACCAAAGAGAGAGAAAAAGTCTTTATAGGTATACTAAGTCACTCCACTGCCCTGTAAGGCTGTCATAAAAGGCGATTAAGTCCTCTTAGCAATTACATTTTAGGTTAAAACCCGAAAGTGCCACACATACCTGCAGGATCAAATGGCAGAATCTCTCCCAACATCCCAAAGACTCCATCGCTTTGGTCACGGTTTGGCCAGGTGTTATTTCGAGGTCCCTGAGGTTTCTGTCCCAAAACCTCTGACATCACATTATCCATATAGCTGCTCACCAAGCCCAAGCTGTATAAGTCAGAACTGAGATCAGATATGCCAGGCCATTGGCCAAGAGGAGACAGACCTGCTCCAACAGGCTGTGCTGGCTGCTGGGATGAGCCATGCACCCATTTCCCAGGTGCTCGAGGCTGGGGTGGGGGCTGCTGAGGCCCAATGGGCTGGAGCAGGTGCTGGTAGTATTGGACGTGGGGCTGCTGTTGCTTTGGGGACTGTTGCTGAGGTGCCAGACCCAGCTGGGATGTCAGAGGTGTGTGTGCTCCAGCCTGGGGAGGTCTTGCAGGGGGCACTGGCAGTGGTGGCTGCACGGCTCCTGCCTTTTGTTCAGTCACCATGGCTGGGGTGGCAGAATCACGCCGTGTCATCAGTGGAGAGCCCTGGTGGGACTGGCCCACGTTAAAGCCTGAGAGAAAGTCTATCACCTCCTGCATTTCCTGATCAGTTGGTAAGTTCATACCCTTCTCATCTTTGCCATCATCTCCATGCAAGAAGTTCTCATGCCTGTCCATGATAAAGCCATTGGCCATCTGATTACCAGCATTCTGAGCAGACTGTGAAAGGTCTGTTGTTCTAGGGAAATTACCAGTGTTCAAAATGCTTTGCAATCTTGCATCAACATTACTGGACATTTTGGCCTTCTCTTCTGAATACCCAGCTATGAAGATGTTTTTGGAAGGGGTATTGGGGTTGGAATAATTCGTGTTACTGCTGGAGCTGGTGCAAGAAGCTTTCTTGGTGAACCGGGATGTCAGTTTAGCAAATGTCTTCTGGAGGCCTGAAGATTTGTTTCCATTTCCAGCAGGCAGGTCAGTCTGATTTCCAAAGTCACAGATCTCTCTTTGTAGCTGAATCTGAATACAGGGTAAAGCTTGCTCCCTTTTTATATATAAATTATTTTTAAAAAAGACAAATATACATATTAGACAATGAAACAGACTTTTCTGTATTTAAGAAACACTTTAAGAATAAGACAAATTTCTCAAAACAACTATGAGATATCATCTCACCCCAGTAAGAATAGCAAATTCACTATTGGTGCGAGTGTAAAATGGTGCAACCGCAATGGAAGGCAGTATGGCACTTTCTCAAAAAGTTGCTAAGAGAAATACCATTTGACCCAGCAATTCCACTACTTCTAATATACCCCAAAGAAACCATAAATGCCACCCAAGCAGATAAATGTACACCCATGTTTATTGTGGCTTTGTCCACAATAGCAAAGAGTTGGAAACAACCTAGGTGCCCATCAACAAACGAAAAGATAGAGAAGCTGTGGTATATCCACACAATGGAATATTATACTGCACTGAAAAACAAAGGACACACTGACAAAGGAGATTAATCAGAACTAGCTTTGACAAGCACTGTGGCAACTGGACAATTAAAACAGACTTTCAAGGGGGGGGGAAAGAAGAATGAACTGGGGAGGAGGGTAAAGAAACAGTGCAACAATGAATGAATGAAAACCCCAAACCTCTGTAAATGTTCATTAAAGTTAATAAAATTTAATAAAAAGAGAAAAACAAGGAACTCATGCAATATTATTCAAAATGGGTGACCCTGGAGGACATTATGCTGAGTGAAATAACTCAGTCACAAAAGGACAAATACCACATAGTGCCACTGTTGTAAAACAGGAGTGACATCAGAGGTGGGAGGAGACTGAGAAAGATGGGATAAATTATGTATACTGCATTGAAAGAGATGAGGGAGAGAACTGTTTAAAAGGGATAAATGATTAGGTATTACTGTTATCAGGAGTCCAGAATGAAGGCTGCATAGTGGAGTGGACTTGGGGGGAGGGACTGTATAACAATTAAAGAATTTTTCTTTTACTTTTCAAAGAGAAGAGCGAACTGGGGGTGGGGGAGGTGTGGTCAGGGAGAAAAGCGCAACAATGAATGAATGGAAATCTAAAGTTCCTATAAACTTTCATTAAAATAAATAATAACAATAAAAAGAAATAAAATAAAGCAAAAAATCAAACAAACCTCTCTGGCATCAAGATAGAAAGCACTAAAGGGCGTTAAACATTTACTATCTCTATAAAGGAACTCTGGTAGCATAGTCTCTAGAGGGTTGTGCCACTCACTAACCCAAAGGTGGTAACTCTCTGGTGGTTCAAATCCACAGCAGTAGGAGAGGGCCTGAGGGTAGGGAGGGGAAAATCATAAGGTTGCGGAATTTGGTGGGCGGAGGAAAAGGGTGAAAGAATTAGGAAAGATCCAGTGGGAATTTGTTAAGAGGTTAACAGTGGGCATAGATCAATGGTGATTAACTGTAAAAAATACAATGTATGGGAATAACTGTATGAAACACAAGGTAAATGAAAGAATGTATGAAACAGTGTATATAAATGAAAATGTACAAATTTTATATGAAACCAATATTAAAAAATAAAAATTCAAAGCAGCTCAATGGAAGAAAGAAGGGGGCTATCACTTCCTATGTGATTCAGTTTCCAAAAACCCACATGAGTGTCAGCTATGAGTTGTTTCTAACTCTACAACAACTGAGTTTAAGTACCTGTGTATATAATAAAGGGCTATGAAAATTACATTAGGATCAAATTGAAGAGTTGTGAGCGACACTCTCCAACTATATGCAGCAAAGGTGGGCAAAAATGCTTAGAGTGGGGAATGCACTGGTGGCTGGAGAGCAAGATTTGAGAGTTAGACGGGTCCAGCAGAGGGACAAAGAACAAATCTACACAGCAGAGAGGACACTGAGGGGTGACTAAGTGGAAATAATTACAGATGGTGCTAAGGAAAGTTAAGTGTTACTTCTAAGGTTTTTGCAGTATTTTTTCTGTGATAAGAGAGCTCTAGAGATGGGGCAAGGGATCTGGGATGGGAACAGATGGAAGTGATAGAGGGCTGACAATGGATAAACCATTTCATCTTTTTGGGCCTCTGAGTGCTAATCAGTTAAGGAAAAAGGAAGGTCCTGGGCCAGATGTCTAAAGCTCTTACTGGTTCTAAACTTTAATAATTCATTCAAAGATAATCATGTAACTCAACTACTTTCAGATAAATGTTATGTGGGATATAAGTAAATATAAACTTTTTTTTTCTGTTCTTGGAGAATATAAATTAGCTTTAAAGTCCTTTTATTAAGTGAAATCATATTGCAATTTATTTTCAAATAATTGTAAAAAGGGCAAAAATGTTAGTAAATTTGGGAGTCTCTATATATATAGGACATAAAGTAATTTTTGGTACTATTACTGCAACTCTTCTATACTTTGACATTATTCCAAAACAAAAAGTTACTATAAATTGTCTTTTCTCCCTCTCCTCTACTTTTTTCCCTTCTTTTTTTGTGATTTTAATGAAAAGTTTACAGGAAAGTTGGATTTTCATGTATTTATTTATTAATTCATTCATTCATTATTGCACATTTCCCATTTCCCCCTCCAGTTTACTTATAATCATTCATTGTTGCATTAATACCATAAGTTATCTTTTATGTTTTATTTATCCACATACTAATGTGAGGACACATATATGATTACAATGCCTCTAGGTGTGGACCTAAATGCACAGTACTGGCACAGCTAATCCAAGTGAGTGACACAGACACCAACCTCCCTGCCCTCCAGCGGTTTAGGTCCAACACAGCTGTGTAGAGCACATCAACCAGACCCAGGGTCTTCTCAGGATCAAGACTTCTCTGTAGGAGGGACATAGTAGCAGGGTCTTCTTTCAGGCACCTAGACACAAACCAGGCTGCATCAGTCATAGCTGTACTCCTCTGCAAAGGCATTTCAAAGCATGCCTCATGGGAAGTCTATACTATCAGTACCCCCATTCCTCCTTCCAACCAGATCATTCTAAGAACATTTAGAAATTGGCTGAGCTGTAAGAAGCTGCGCTGCAATCCTAAAGGTTCACAGTTTGAATCCACCAGATGCTCTGCTGGAGAAGGAGGGACAATCTCTTCCTGTGCTAGTTGGATCTGATTCGACAGTAAACAACAATTTAAAAATAAAAATAAATAAATAAATAAAAAATAAAAATAAATAAATAAAATGGCAAGGCTAACCCTATAACGTTAATTCTAGAACATAATCATAGAACATAGAACCGGGATGTAGGAGAAGAGTGCTGAAGTTCGCCATCGACTGGCAAAAGAACAAACAGACATGTCTTGGAGAAGGTACAGCCTGAGTGCTCCATGGAGGCAATGATGATGAAGCCTCATCTCATATACTTTGGGCATGCTGCTAGGAGAAATTTATGGGATCACTATGAGTTATACTCAACTAGACAGCACCTAACAACCACCACCATCCTAAAACTTATTGCTATACAAAAAACGAGAAAGGAGGAAAATTCAAGAAATTATCAGGGTGTGTAGCCTCAATAAGTTTCTCATTATCTAGAGTCTATTTAAGGCAGAAAAGCACTCAGAGGAAATGCTATTTTCCAGAGGCATTAGTATGCTCTCACTGTCCAACATCCACCTGACATCCTGGAGTCTTTGCTGATATTCTGTCATCAGGCACAGTATCTGGTTTTAATTTTTTCCATAATTCTTTTGCTCCTCCCTTTTCCTACAACTCTTCACACCTTTAGTTTTTTTCTCAACAAACACTTACTTTGTGATAGCAAAGAAAAAGAAACACTAAAATGAAATCTTTACCAAAAACAACCAGCAGAGGGAAGTCTTCAAAGGAAATAAATCACTGGGAAAGATGGAAGAAAACTTCAATGTTAATCATTTTAGCACTAGTGTAATATTTACCCAGTTGCCCAAAAGTCAGTAAGCAGTGTATCATCTCAACAATCAAAGTGAACTGCCAACTCTTCCTTGATGTATTAACAAGCTGTAAACATTTTTAGCAGCATCTATTGAATACACCACAGACTGTCAAACAAATGTGTGTTGGGTGAAGCACACCATAGAGGCAAGGATCTTACATACTTTAGACATGTTATCAGAAGGCACCTGTTCTTGGAAAGAAACATCATGCTTAGGAAAGCAGATGCTCAGTGAAATAAAGGATGACCATCAATGAGATCAGTTGACTAACTGCAAGCATATGATGGAGCATGGCAGAGATTGTAAGGATGAAAAAGGATAGTTTTGATCTGTTCTATGGAATGCTGCCCTTTTTGGTGTTACTGCCTATTTGGCAGACAGGTGAGTTGTAGGTCTGACTGAAATCCAGGTCTGCAGACTAAAAGCTAAAAATTTTAGAGTGTTAAGTGTCCATCAGTCTTTATCAAACCAGCAATCCTAGTCTTTCTTTTTAGTTCTGCTTTTCACTTTTATCCCCCTATATCAGGGAATTTGCATTGTGATTACTCTCAGGGAAGTCAGCAGTGGCAACTGGGCACCATCTAGTACTTGTGAAGACTGATGTTCATGTGGTCCATTCATCCTCTGGACAGTCTTCGGTTTTCTTTACTTTTCTCTACTAAGGATGGGGGAGGCCAATAGCTGCCTGTAAGCTTTTCAGACTCTAGTTGCAACTCATCAAAGCAGGATGTAAGACTTTGGCTTTGGGGATAATGTTACGCCAGTTGACCTAGATGTCACCAATGAATGTCCCTGAGTTCCCAGAGCCCAGCATTCAGTTGATTTAAATATTTCCTATACAATTATATATTCAGCCAGATTATAATAGTAATAGCAAAACTGCCTTCCAATATGGGCTTAAAAAATTTATTGTGATTTGTGTGAAAGTTTACAGAGCAAATCTGTTTCCTATTAAACAATTTACACACAATCTGTTTCATGACATTAGCTGCAACCCCTCATCATACCAGCACTCTTCCTACCTACTCCCTGTTTCCATTCATCTTTTCCTGTCCCGTCCTGATGAGTGTTGTTTCATATGGTTGACTGTTCTTGGAATACACTCCTCAAAGATGTTACTGACCACTGTAAAGGCCAGTGTTTATGTTTGAAGTATCATTCCTGGCATGGCTTCAGTTCCAGGTTTGAAGGGCCACAGTCTCAGGCATTATATCAGTTATCTATCACACTAATAAATTGTTTTTGTTTTGTGGTATATGTTCATCCTATTATGTTCAGGACCTTCTACTGTGATTCAGAGTAGCAACAGCTGGGCACCATCCTAGTTCTTCTGGTTAGGGCTGTAGAGGCTGTGGTTTAGTTACTCCTTAAGTTCCTTGGATCTTTCATTTTCTTCACACCAGATAGGAGGAAATCCTGATTTGGCTACTTGCATGCTTTTAAAACTTGAGGTGCTACTCACCAAAGTAGGATGTAGAGCACAGTCTTTGTGGACTATGGTATGCCAAGTGATGCAGATGTCACTGGAGACTATGGTATTCTATGAGTTTAATTTTTCATTTATTAATATAGCTATGATAAAGAAAGGATAAATCTTCAGTGCTGGATTATGGGATTTCTAAGGTAACATCTCTCCCATATTATGTTTCCAGTGTATTAAACAACCCTTAAGAAAGACCATGTGATTTATTTGCTATTAAAGGTCTATGAGTATATTTGTATAATCTGGTTCAAACTCAGTATCATTAATTTCAAAAATATATTGGGTAAGACAATATTATATGGTTTCTTCTACTTTGCTTTCCTTGGATTATCAAGTTTAAGATTTTCTTTATGCATTTATCAATCACATTTCTTTCTTTCTGATTCCCCTGTTCATGTTCCTTGTCTCTCTCTCTCTTTTTTTATTATTTGTCAAAAGTTTTGTTTTAGTTTTTTGGGAGGTGGGTGGGAATATGGGAGTTTTTTAAAAGAAATGAAAACTAAATAAATGTAGAATAAACTTTTTATGTTACAAACACAATTAAATAATAAAAATAGCACAGCTTGCCCCTAAATTTGCTATGACACTAAGCATGTAATCCTATGTGCTCAATATCATCAGGATGTAGCTGGTGAAGACAGAGGAGAAGGAATGTGATGTCTGTACTCAGCTGTAGAAGGCACTGGGTGACTCAAAAACATTTAAAATCTAAGGATTTACCAGCAAAGAATATATTAATAATTTTGACACAAGAATATAAAGAATCCATGACATACATTAATTTTTAAGACATCTTAACTTCCTCATATGGTCCAATAATTATTTTTTTTTCATGTTTATTACATCCTTAAAAAAAGAATCCCACAATTTTTCCTCCTGTGTGTTTTTGTCTTGCTTCCTCGTGGTATCATGCCAACTGAGGTTGTCAGTACAATGAAACCAAACTGATGGGATGGGAGCAGATTATTCTGCCACATTTTTAGATCTTTGAGCTGCACATTAAATCTGGGGCTGACAATGCCAAATTTGTTTAACCTTCCTGTGCAGTTGGCAACAGTTTTCCCCACTTTGCGATCATCAATGATTTCAAATTCACCAATGTAGCCATGCTTAATCATCACTGTCAGGAGCTGAACTTTGACTTTGGAGCACAGGCTGATAAAAACCTGGAGCTTGCCTCTCTTCTCTCAGCATTGTTGATGCTCTTGAGAGCGTCAACCAGGACTTTCATGTGTACCACTGTATGGAAAGATGGCGAAAAGAGCATGGTCCAATAATTCTAATACGTCACTGTTGTCATAAGCCTTCATGTCCAACAAGAACTGCCATTTCCAGGCTTGTTTGAAACAAAGCAATCATTCCAAAAAAGTATACCCTTTAGAATTTGGGGCTGTGTTAATGTTAAAAATCCTATTACCATGTAGATGGGACTTGAACCACAATCCTGGAACCTTCTAAACTGATCTGGGGAGCATAGGCTTCTTTATTTTCAATCTGGGCTGTGTCAACCACCACCTAAGAAAGAAACATAAAACAGCCACTAAATTTTAGAGATGAAAATGAATCACAAACCTAATACAAGAGCCTACCCATGCTGAGTGGCTCTGGCAAGAATACTCTCCCCTTGCTACAACTACGCAGAGGACAGTCTGGAGCCTGGATTGAAGCAATGACAGCAAGTAATAAAGATGATGGTAACAATACATGAATAAAAAAAATTAAAAGTGTGAGAGTTACTGTAATTTTGGCAAGTACTTTCATAATTTTCTCTAAACTATGACTATGCTAATTAGGAATAAACTAATTTATCCTAGTTTTTTTTACCCTATGCAAACAAACCCAGGAATTTGGTGGTAATGGTTAAAGTGCTCAGCAGTTTGAACCCATCATTAGTTCTGTGGGAAAAAGCTGTGGCAGTCGTCGTCTGAAAAGATAGCCTTGGAAATATTATGGGGTTGCTATGAATTAGAATCAAAAGCAACAGGTTAACTTTTGATATATATTTATGTACCTAAAGAAGTAAAATGTCATTAAAAAATAAAAATCAAACTAGTGCTTCAGAAAGTCCTTTTTCTTTTTTTAAGAAAGTCCTTTTCTAATGACAAGTGATGAAGCTTTTTTCTTTATGTTACCCTCAATCACCTATCAAACCAGAAGTATGAATACAGATAAAAAAACCAATGTTTCAATGATTTTATTAGGAGGAAAGTTTGACAGAATAATGCATATATTTTTAAATAATTGGAAAATTTTAAGATAATCACAGTACATTTTAAAAAACCAATCTTTAATACTTCAGAATGAGCTGTGCATGATTCTAAATTCAGCCTCTTAATGGGAAAACTTTCCATTGCTATAAGCACATTTAGAGTTCTCACAGCTGGTCTTCAATGTCCTTTAAAACGGACTTCCTGTCCAAGACTAGCCATTGTTGAACCAGGCAGGTGTTTCCTCTTCCCACCCTTTCCCAGAAACATAACCTGAAAGTTCTTTGTCAGTCACATACAACAGCCCCTGAGATGAAGGAAAAGAGACTTAGGAAGAACTTTATGCTTCCAGAAAAACATAACCTTTTTTTTTTTTTTTTAAAGAAACAAAACTTAGAGTGTTTTCTCAAAACCACCTGTGTTCTCCTACTTTATTTGATACATCCCCATCTAGAAAACTTATTGCTTGATTCTCTAAGTTGCTAAAGGGACTTCTGGAATGTAGCTCAATCTAAAGGCAATAAGCTCTTTGGCAGAAGTGGCTTATTCCTTTTTTTGAAGATTCTTCTGCTAAGAAACAGGTCCCAAAGGAAACCTAATAACAAAAAAAGAGTTTGCCTAAATGTGAACAAACTCCTTTATAGGACAAAGTCTCCTAAGTGAGGTCATTTGAGTCCTCATGCTCATGCATCCTCCTAACCAACAAACAGCCAATTTTCATGAATAAAGTAGGAATTACACTGACAGAAATTGTCCTTGATTTTCCTGATTTCTAACTAGCCTCTTCTTTGAGCTTTTAAGTAAAATGGCATATATTTTTTTAAAGTAGCAGTTTAATTCTAGAAAGTAAGAACAAACACTTAAGAATATATGGATCAGGTAGCTCTGGTGGCCTAGTGGCAAGAAGTTGTGCTGCAATCCAGAAGGCATGCAGTTCAAATTCACCAGATGCTCTGCTGGAGAAGGAAGGGCAATCTCCTGTGCCAGTAGGATCTGATTCAGGAGTACATACATACCCCCCAAACAAAAAAAAAGAGTATATGGATCAAAGATGCCACACAAATGCTAAACAGTGATTTCAGATGATGCCCTCTTAATCTAAACTAACTTTGGCAAGTTTTTTAATTATCTCCAAAAGATACAACATGTTTCCACCACAAAATCTAAACCCAAATCATTTTAGTTAAGCTGCCATTTGATTGCTAATGAGGTGATAAGCAGAGATTTAAGATACAAAGCAAATGAAAGCATGATCAGAGATCTCCCCTGAGAAGCGAGACATTCTTTCTCCCTCACTCAGAAGGGTGATGAATAGTGAGCTATGTGCAGATCAGGGAGAAGAGTGCTCCCAAATAAAAGAGTGGAAAGGCCTGAACACCATAAGCTTGGCATGTTTGAGAGACTGAAAAATGTCCACTGTAATTACAGGGTAGTCGGCTCTGTTAGACAACTACAGCATCATTTTGTAACTAAGTCCCTTGAAAATATGTATTATCAATCACCAAAAGAAAAAAAGAAGCCTGTAAAATGTAAACAGATAACTCTTTTACTTTTTCTATCTAATTTAAACTTTGTAGCAAAGAACTCTTTACAATTACTCATTGCTCTCACACCTGTGCACACCCCTTATCTTCATATGGGTGAACAGAACTTCCCCGTGCTCTGTTCACCCATTACAGACGTTCACTCACCAGCCCTGCTTGGCCGAACAGCAGCTGCACGGCAGTCTTGCAGGCACCACGCCATGTGGATGGGCAAACCTGGTTCAGTACTTCAGTCACAGGAACATCATCCCTGGGTGTGATTCCATTATAGCAGCCTGCCTCCTTGATCAGTTCTAACATTGTATGCTACAAGGCAAGATCAAAGTTACATAAAGTACTAAAGTTCTGTGAAAATGGGTTTACAGGTACATAATCATCCTCAAAAGCATCCCATTTTTTTTAAGGGTAACAGAGATTTTAGTTAGTTATTTTAAATTTATAAAAAATTTTTCTTATTTTCTATGTGTGTACTGTCAAATCAGATCTGACTGGTATAGGAGGAGATTGCCCCTCCTTCTCCAGCTCCATATCTGGAGGATTCAAACTGCATATCTCTGGGACTGCAGTGTAGCTTTTTGCCACTAGGCCACCAGAGTGCCCTTATTTAGTTATTTTTTAAATAAAAATTTTATACTAGATTACTTACAAAATTCATATACATAAAAGCCTCTCTTTTTTTAAAAAAAGTATACTAGGTCATGTAATTGCTTATGTAATTATCATTCTCAGGGATTTTTCTCAGCCTATAGAAAGAGGGGCTAGATACGGATGCATCTATGTTAATATTGCACACTCAATTTCAGTACTAACACAAATGATAGCATTCTTCAGCTAGTGATGCACAATAGTCAAGTAATTCTGAATCCCTGTAAGGAAATCAACCCATGTGGTAAAAAGTAAATACCAACCTAAACCTTAACTTTATTTTGAATGACCAAGGCGTTAGGTATGCAGTGTTTGGAAAAGACCACATAAGCTCAAATTCTACTTTCTAGATATGACATCTGGGCTTCTTTTCCCCTTTGTGTCATACTGGGGAAAAAAAAGAGTATCCACCTCATACAAAAACATTGCATGAAACAATGTATGTGAAGTGCTTGGCACAGTGCCAGCACACACTGCTCATTATTATGTTTATTAAGTAAATGATAAATATTCATTATCATTGCAGTATACTAACAAGATCATCCTCCTTACTTAATGTGTAAAAGTCTACTAAAGAACATTAATAAACAATATCTTATACAGCACTTTCAAAATGTTTTACACAAAATACTTCTAAAGTCATTAATAAATCCAACTTGACAAATACTAAAAAGAAATCAATCAATCAATCAATCAATCAATCAATCAATCTCCATGTCTTCTTTTAGATACCAGCTTACTGAGGAAGGTCAATGCCTTCTGTCCTAACCCCAGTTTTGGTTTTTTAATCTATAATCTTTCACAAGCTGTTTCCCTTAAGAACTTTATTTTCCAAGTTCACACTTGGGTTGTTGGAACTCCATGGAAAGCTACCGTCTTAAGTTTCAGATTGTCACCAGCTGATTCATTAAAGGAGACACCCTTCAGGAAGTGCGATCCTATTTGCACAGGGACAGTGGGGAGCTCGCACTGCATGGGCTGCGGGGGGGTCTTCCTCCGTCCTGTCTGGTGGGCTTCCACTTCGCTGCAGCAGCCCTGGAAAAGATTTCCAAAAAGCAGTGATCCACAGCTCATCTATCAAAACATTCAGTTCATAAAAGACTGGCAGACTGCAGTTCTGGACAGTTATTGGAAATAAAAGTTTACCTGTAAACTTGCTTCAATCTCCTTTGGATTCAAGTGGAAGCCAGCTTTCATTGCATATTCACAGTGGCCTAAGCTTTCCAGAGCTACCTTATATGCCTGCAAAAATTTTATTTTCAAAAAGAATCAAGATTATATAACAGATGACATGACAAAGTATAATAAAAACAGAAATTTAAAATTTCTATACACATTAGGTGAATTACCATTTTAATTCCCTTTAAAGGTTAAATATCTCCTTTCATTTTCATTCATCAAATATCAATGTGTTAGTCCTCAAAAACTTACTTGCAAAGCATTGTCAATTTTTATGTTCAGTTCTTTTAGCTGGTGATCTGGAATTGCTGCACTTTGAGAACAGAAGAGCTGCTGAACCTCTATTCCTGCCAGGCAGCCATCACACCCCCTTTCTCTTAGTCTAGAGGTGGCCTGCAACATAAATAGTAACTGGTACGTAAAAGAGCTACTAGAAAAAGTATAAAAAAGGAAATAAAATAAGAAACTATCTAAACAACAGATACAAAATAGAGGTTTTAGATTGTTTGTATTATAAAACATTTTTAAATTCTTATTAGCATTCTGAAAAGAAAGGAAACTTAGGTTAGCATTACTCTACTTTGAATTTCTATCCAGAAATGCTGGATAAAATATTTACACATATTTCATTTCTCTGCTTTACAAAGCTTACTAAGAATACTGGTTTCCAGATTATAGAAAAAAGGAATGTATACAGTAGTGTAACCTTAAACAAGGAACTAAAAAAGTCATTCTAATACAGAGCAGGGGGAATTTCCTATTGGAAAAACAGAAATTTAGACATCTGCACAGATAAACTATATACTAATTGTTCAATCATTTTATTTATGAAGAGCATAAGAGAAAGGAGAAACTAATGTGCCACATTAAAATGAAAGTTTTATGTATGAGCTAGGACTAGAAGAGAATACAAGAAAAAACTCATATATCTGATTTAGTAGATAGGTAGAGGGACTCGGCAAGAAAGGACTTTCAATTTTATTGCAATAATATTTAGGCAAAAAAATTTAACATTTTTAAGTCAGTGTTTTTTTCTTTTAGGTTACTATCTGAAACTGCAATATTACAAAATTTCTAAGAATACAGAGGAATAACTATCAGTTATAATATAGTTATACTCAAAAGCTACAGTTTCATATATAAACACAACTAGATAATCCCCTGAATGCTGTCTCCCAATTTAAAACGTTTTCACTTGTTCTAAGACTCAGTTAACTATTTAGCTTAAAAGTGTCATGTTAGATGCTCCCAAAATACATAGTGGAACACAAAACCTAGTCCCACTCTCTGGACCTAATAGCTTCAAGGTAAACAAACAATACTAAGATTAAAATTGGAGGATAAATGTTGTAAATAAACCATTGTTTTGATAGAAGTAAATAACAGTGCTTGGCTTTGAGGGATTCTGAGCCAGAAAGTAAAGCAGCAAGGCAACTGCAAACAAGAATAAGAGCTTGGGAATGAGCTGAGTATGGTTGCATATAAGAATTGGATTAAGCTGCATTTAAATTCTCTCTGTTCCTGTCCCTCCCTCTAGTTAATATGATCACTGGCTAGTTCCCTAACCACAACATCCTCTGTCTATACAAAGATACAGGAGTGTAAGCGACTGATTGAAACCCAAACAGGCAAAACTTCTCAAGGATCTGTTTGGAGTTCACTTTCTGTAGCCTACAGCCTGTGAACTGCTACAGAGAAGGGTGCCCTACAGTGAAGTCAGCTCTCATAGTTACATTGTTCCTTTCCATGTTGCTTAGCCCAGATCTCTGAAACCAAGAGAAGACACTCCTTGAGGAGTCAGCTCAGATCTGTTTGCATTCCCTTCTTCTGTTTGCTTGAATGCCATATCTCAGATATAACCAGCTCCCACAGAGAGAGAAAAAAAAAATTTAGTGAAACCAAGGGACAATACTCAGACCTAAGGGGACCCACTAGGTGTGGGCTTTCCAACTAAAAAAATGTGACTGCAGAAACAGAGAAGAGAAGTAGGTAAAAATCGAGAGGGAGAGGACTGTGCAAACATACTCTTAGTATATAATATTTGCTTTAAGTGGTGGTGTCTGCTGGTGGACAAACTGACTATAGCATGATCTCTGGTGTGTCAAGAGAGGGTGAAAGTTGAAAAAGGAGATACAGGCATAACAAATTTCAGTTAACCTAGAGAGAGAGAAGGAATGACCACAGACAAGAAGTGATAAGGCTGAAGGCTCTAACCTACCTATATTTTTTTTGCAAAAACTCACATTGCTAAACATTAAATACTGAGGAAAACTGAGAAAGTTTTTCTCATGATTAATTTTAAAAATGGAAACAGAAAAGATGAAAACATGGAAATTAACTAACACACCAAAGAAGACATCAAAAGAGAAATAAAAAAATTCTTAGACTAAAAAAAAAAAAAAAAAGAGCAGAACACACCAAAACCGATACAAGGAATGGAGTAGTCAAGAGGAAAATTTACAGTAGTAAATGTGTATGTGAAAAAAAGAAGAAAGATCTCAAATCAGCAGCTTAAACTGATAAATCAACGGCTTAACCTGACAATTTCAGGAAATAGAGAAGAGCAAACTAAGACTAAATCTACAAGAAGAAATTGAGTAAAAAAGATCAGGATAAAAAAAAGAAAAGCCACAAAAACAATACAGAGAATCAACAAAATGAGAATATGGCTTTCTGACTTATAAACACTGACAAACCTTAGCCAGACTAAGAAAAATAAGAACAACATAAATAAAAAATGAAGCAAATTGGGTCAAAACACCAATGAGAATCCCAGAGGATACAAGGAAAATTCCAGAGTTAGGTGAGGAATTTGGTCAAGTTGCAAGACACAAAGCTACCAAATAAAAATCAACCAAGTTTCATACACTATTCATAAGGAGAAATTAAAAAATGAATCCATTTACAATCATTGTTTCTATTGTTATATGCTGTTGAGTCACCTGCAACTCATAACGACCCTATGTACAACAGCCCTAAATCCTGTGCTAATCACGCAGTCTCTGACACACCCACCCCGATTACCCCAGTCACTGAATCAATCCACCTCATACAGGGTCTACCTCTTCTGCGCTGTCCCTCCACGCTCCCAAGCATGACGTCCCTCTCCAAGGAATGGTCCCTCCTTGCAACATGTCCAAAGTATGTCAGACAAAGCTTCAGAATCCTTGCCTCCAAGGAACAGCCTGGTTTAACCCTCTCTAGGACGAACCTGTTTGTTTTCTTAGTAGTCCATGGTATATTCACTATTCTTCTCTAACACCAAGCTCAAAGATATCAATTCTTTCTATCAACCCTAGTCATTGTCCAGCTTTATAACACACAGCAAGTGATTGCAAAGACCTTGGCCTCTATCAGGCACACCTTAGTCTCTATAGTGACACCATTGCTCTTCAGTACTTTCGAGAGGTCGCTAACAGCAGACTTTTCCATCGTCATGTGTCTTAATTTCCTGGCTGCCAGTGCCAAGTGTTGACTAAGGAGCCAAGCAAACTAAAGCTGTGAACAATCTCAATCTCTTCACCATCCATCCTGATGCTGCCAATTGGCCAAGTGGTGAGAATTTTTGTTTTCTTGATATTAAGCCTCAAGCCATATTAAAGGCTGCAGTCCTTGACCTTCTGCAGCAAGCACTTCAGATCCTCCTCAGTTTTAGCAAGCAGGGTTGCGTCACCTGCATAACGCAGATTGTTGATGAATCTTCCTCCAATCCTGATGCCACACTTCTCCTCATACAGCCCTGCCTCCCAGATAATCTGTTCTGCATATAGGTTGAAAAGGTATGGAGATAGGACACATCCCTGGCATACACCATTCCAAATTTTGAAACATGCAGTGTTTCCCTGCTCTGTTTTGATGACTGTCTCTTGATCCAAGTACAGGTTTCACATTAGCATGATCAAGTGTTCTGGGATTCCTATTCTTCTCAGAGTTAGCCACAGTTTGTTGTGATCTACACAGTCAAATGCCTTTGCATAATCAATGAAACATAAGTAGACACTCCTTTGGTACTCCCTGGTTTCAGCCAAAATCCATCTAACATTAGCTACAATATCCCTAGTACTGCAACCCCTTCTAAACCCAGCCTGCACTTCTGGCAGTTCTCTGATTTTGGATAATCTTCAGCAGACTCTTGCTTGCATGTGATATTAATGATATTGTTCAATAATTTCCACATTCTCTTGGGTGTCCTCTCTTTGGAATGGGAACAAATACAGCTCTCTTCCAGTCAGTTGGCCAAGTGGTTGTCCTCCAGACTTCATGATAGAACTTGGTGAGCACATCTAGGGCAGGATCTGTTAGTTGAAATACATCAACTGGTATACTACCATTTAAAAAAAATACCTAGGAATAAGTCTAAAACAGATTAAAGATAGCTTTATGTAAGTGGAAAGATGTTTCATGTTCAAGACTGGAAGATTTCATACCCTTAGGATGCAAATACTACCCAAAGTGATCTACAGATTCAGTGGACTTTTTACAGAAATGGAAAAAATGGTTCACATATGGAAAGGGAAGAAGCACCAAATAGCAAACACAATGGTGAAAGAAAAAAACAAAGTTGGAGGACTCAGACTTCCTGATTTTAAAATACACATGTACAATGCTTCAAACCTACTCCTAAGATGATTTTGAAATTCAGATAGAATAGATTCAAGATCATATATTGGATCTCATGGACTTATTTTCATTTTTTTCAGCCTCAATTTGAACTTGCACCTGAGTAACTGATGATCTGACCCACAGTCTACCCTTGCCCTAGTTTTGACTGCCAATACTGAGCTTTTCCAGTGATGTATAGATTGTAGTCAATCTGATTCCTATGCAGATCATTAGGTGAGCTGCATGTGAAAAGTTGAAGTTTGTGTCTTTTAAAAAGGTATTTGCAATGAAAAAAAAAGTAACTGAAAATAAAAAATAGGATCATTTTATTTCCACAAGCCCATATTTTCCAACTATTATTCCTTCTTCACTTTTATCAACTTTTGCATTCTGGTCACCAATTATCATTAATGCATCTTGACTGCATGTTTGGTTAATTTCAACTACAAGATTTGATAAAAATTTTCAATTTCTTCTTTCTATCTCTAGAGGTAGGGGCATATATCTGAATAACAGTCACATTAACAGGTCTTCCTTCTATGCACATGGATAATATTCTATCACTCACAACACTGTATTTTAGGACAGAACTTGAAATTGACTTTTGGACTACGAATGCAACACCATTCTTTTGTTTTTCATTCCTAGCATAGTAGACCATATGGTATTATGTGGACAAATGATATACCATATGATACAGTTGCCAAAGCTAGTCCAACTCATCTCAATGATGCCTATTTTAATGTATTCCATCTCATTTTCACAGTTTCTAGTATTCCAGCATTCAAGCT